CTTCCCCATCCCTTCCTTCCTCATCCCTTCCTTCCCCATCCCTTTCTTCCCCATCCCTTCCTTCCCCATCCCTTCCTTCCTCATCCCTCCCTTCCCCATCCCTCCCTTCCTCATCCATTCCTTCCCCATCCCTGCCTTCTTCATCCCTCCTTTCCTCATCCCTTCCTTTTCCATCCCTTCCTTTTCCATCCCTTTCTTCCTCATCCCTTCCTTCCCCATCCCTCCCTTCCTCATCCCTTCCTTCCTCATCTCTCCCTTCCCCATCCCTTCCTTCCCCATCTCTTCCTTCCTCATCCCTCCCTTCCTCATGTCTTCCTTCCCCATCCCTTCCTTCCCCATCCCTCCCTTCCCCATCCCTTCCTTCCTCATCCCTCCCTTCCCCATCCCTCCCTTCCTCATCCATTCCTTCCCCATCCCTGCCTTCTTCATCCCTCCTTTCCTCATCCCTTCCTTTTCCATCTCTTCCTTTTCCATCCCTTTCTTCCTCATCCCTCCCTTCCTCATCCTTCCCTTCCCCATCCCTCCCTTCCTCATCCTTCCCTTCCCCATCCCTCCCTTCCCCATCCTGGCCCCACCGCAGCCGGACGGGGCTGTTCCTCCCACTCCCAGGTGTGATTCCTCCTCTTTCTCCCTTTTATTTATTAGGTTTTTTTCCGGCCCCAGGAGGTGGGGATGAAGGGTTTGGTGGGACGAGGTGCCTGGGTTACAGCACACATGGTGAGAGGGACATGGACGGTTCCTGGGCTGTGCTTTCCCTGCTCCCCTGGCAGTCCCTAATTACCCAGGACAATATACCACGGGGGTGTCCATTGTTCCCTCAGTCAAAACTGTCATGGTACAGGGGTTCTCGTAATGACTGCTGTACGCCCTCAAATCACACATTTTTAGTAAAAACATATAGATATATATAAAAATCCCACAGCTGAGAGATAAACTGCCTTCCGTGTGGGCACGGGGAGGCTCCCCAGAAGAACCTCTTGGTGAGCCTGTCTAAGAGAAGTTCGATGTCTAATTTACATTCTCGGCTCCTGAAGCTCAAATCACTGACATTTCCTCCTATGAGAAGTTGAGCACAGCTCCTTTGCTTGCTCCGTGACTCAAATGAGCCTTGTCTGCTTCCCATGGCACGGAGCAGAAAGGAAAATGGAGCACATTTCCCCCCGTGGCACCTGGAAACACAGGGAGGCTCCGGGATTTCACGGCGTCTTGGCCGTTGGAGCAGCCGGAGTCAAAAGGTGAGACAGCAACCAGGTCTGTGCCATCCTGGAGCCCATCCCCAGAAGGGTAAGGTCACGGCCCTTCTGAAGCCAAGGTGCTGCCACTCTCCTGGCTGCCTGGGAGAAGCAGATGTTGGGGAAAAAAAACCCAGATCTGATCATTTCCACAGCGTGGCAGGACCTTCCTGGAGAAGGCTCTGCTGGCAGCGAGGAGCTGCAGGATCCTGACCTGGAGTGGGTCATGCCGTGGGCTTGGTCCCCCCTGCACGCCCCAGGAACACGAGGTCTGGCCTCAGACTTGCCAGCAGCAAACGTGAGAAGAGAGACAGATTTGTTTTTTCCCTGCCTGTCATATTTTAAAACACAGCGAGTCCTGGAACTGGGGGAAAATAACTTGTGACTGCACAGGTGACCTCTGGAGGATGGTGCTTGGTAAGGAGGTCCCTTCCAACCCCTAATATTCTGTGATTCCATGAGGTTTCCCTCTTGTGCCCCAGCAGCAGCAATTTCATCTCGTGCTTTGTCCACCATATTCTATTACAAACCAATCCATCTGGTTGAGCTCTCACCAAGTATGGGAGATATTCCCAGAATCTCAAGGAATTCTCTCACACAGGAGGGATGAGACAAGCAACACCAAGGGAAGGCTACACCATCTCATGGAGCCTCAGAGCTCTTTGAAAACCTCTAGCTGGAAAAGTCAAGCCAACCTCAGACAACTACTCTGCTTTGAACTGCCACCAACTTGCTGATACAAGAAGCCATTCTAATGAGGAAGGCACAATCAATGATTGTATCAGGGACATGGCACTAGTTTTCCTGTAGAGCTGGTAGGAAATGGTTAACAAAAACCTTACAACTTCTGCTAAACTGAGTATTGCCTCAAATGATTATTGTTCAGTGAAACATCTGAAGATCACTTCTCAACAGCTACTGAATAAAATGCAATAAGGAGCTGTTTTGCTGCATAAATGTTTAAGATGCAGTTGATAACCTGGCAAAAGAAAAAGATTAATCCTGAGCTCCCAACATAAACAGAACTTCCTTCAGTGCTGGGGGGGACTTGGAGAGTGTACTTGCTAGCCCAGCTGGTGTGAGTGGTCTTCAGCAAGTTACAGTGAGGAGACCAAAACAAACGTCTTCAGGACCAAATCTCTCATTCCTGTTTTCCTGACTAATGGCTGAAGGTTTGGTTGTAAATGGAAGCTCTTCCCCACCCTCTCTCTCTGCCAACTTTGATCCTGACTTCCTGGTCACTGAAACCAGCAGCTTTCAGTTAGGTGGTGGTGTTGGGTTTTTTCCCAGTTGCACACTCTGAATACTTTTTTTAATAGAGATGTGAATTTATGCCTCCTAACAGTAGGCTCACTTTTCTCAGCTTCTTCTGGGAAGCTACTTAAAACCATCTTCCAGTCCCTCAGTACCTCATCAACCAGCAGATGAAAGCCATGATCTTAGAGCATATTCTGCTTTTCTTCATACCTAACACAGCCTTCTGCTGGGTACAAAAGATCTACCTCTCTGTGTCCTCATGATAACATCTCTTAATATCTCAGCAAATTATTTCTGCAGCTGAACATGATTCCTGTTTTTCTAGAGCTGTTATTACCTTTACATAGTGCACATTATTATACTACATGTTCTTGGGAAGTTGTTCTTCTAGTGATAGCATATGGAGGACCATCAGCTGTCAGCTCAGAAGTTCATACATTGAGTGCTCAAACACACATCGCAGGCACCAAAATAGGGTTTGGAAACCGTCTAATTATTCCACTTGTTACTGGGGAGGGAATGACTAACAAAAAGGAATGCTTTCAGGTTTGAGTGGTAGTTCATGGACTCCTCAGGAGAGGCAGAACATCAGAACCTGTGCAAGCCATAAATTTGTCAGTCATACAATGGCATTGAGCTGAACGTCTCCGAAACGTTATGAGAAAATAAATCTGGTGTGTACGTTACAGAGGCTCTAACATTAAATACATTTACTGAACTGTGACAGCACGTATTTCTGCTGTGAAAACCTGTATTTTTGGTAAAGAAACCTGGCTCAGCAGTGCTCAATATGGATTCTGCAAACTTTTTAAACAGGTGAATAAAGGTGGGTGATTGGATCAATAGGGCTGCTCGCATTGATTCCACCAGATACTGGGGTGTGTGGTATCAGTAAGCAGATTTTAACCAAAGATTAAATCCTGATCCTGTGGAAATCAGTGAAGATTTTTCTCCTGACTTCAACAGGACCAAATTCCTTGTGAAATTTCCAAAGTGATTTTGAATCCATCTATTACATAGCGTGTGTTGGAAAGCAAGAAGCCAATTCTCTTTAAAAACAAAACAAAACAAAAGAAGCAAAGAAACCCAAACCCAAACAAATAAACAAAATAAACACACCTAACAAGGTTTAAAAAATATGTCTCCATTCTCATACAAAGCAAAAGTAAGAAAATGAGTGGGGAAAAGGCTTCCTGCTCCTTACTGTAATTCATCTCAAAAGGGAGCAGAAACTGCACATCAGGGTTCCCACGATGAGTACGTGTTCTAACCCCACAGCAATGGAGTAAGTTTCTCACTCTCTTGCCTGTTGAAGGAACTTGGGCTGGGTTTTTTTGGTTAGCTCACTGATTCCTTTTGAAGTTGGGGAGAAAAAAAAGCCACAGGATCTGCCTTTCTGTGGCCACTAAGTTACCTGCAAGACTGAGGCTCAGGTCCCTGCTGTGTCCAACTCACTACAAGGATCTGAGCTTTCCCTTCCATCAGCCAAACGTGTGTGTTTTACACACAAAACACTTTGCCAGGCTCTGTATTTTCCTTCTGTGGTGTCTTTGCGTTTCCAGCTCTGAATTTGCACTTGGATTTTTGCAAGCACAGTAACTTGAACCTCTGAAAAACAAATACTGTTCATAAAACGACAGGCATAAATGAGTTGCCTAAAACAAATCACCCCAGGTTTCATTTATGTTCTGTCATTTGTGTTCCTATTTATTAGCATTTACACATTTTAAAAGGGCACCTCTCCACTTCCTGGAGTTGCTTTAGGTAGCACGAAAGCAACACTTTGCTGTAACTGAGTTCTTCAGTTTCACCTGTATTAATCTCTTTAATATTCTTATTGAGCTATTTTCTTCTCGTTCCTGCCTCCTGGAGAGGACGAGACAAACAAGAAGGCCTGGTTTTCCAGCTGGTAAATATGTAAGGGCACGAAGGCTTCAAAGGGAAAGGTTTTAAAAGGCAATGGCATCAAACCAGTGGCACTCTGTGGCACGCTGGAAATGCCCCGAGGGTTTGCAGAGGCAAAATTGAGACAACCGGGGTAATCACTGCAGTCGTTGTGGTGCCGGTGGGAGGGAGGGAAAGGGGCCGAGCCCCGCAGAAAGCAGCATCACTGCCCTGGGGAGCAGCATCCCTGCCCTGGGGAGCAGCATCCCTGCCCTGGGGAGCAGCATCACTGTCCTGGGGAGCAGCATCCCTGTCCTGAGGAGCAGCATCACTGTCCTGGGGAGCAGCGTCCCTGCCCTGGGGAGCAGCATCACTGCCTTAGGGAGGAGTATCCCTGTCCTGGGGAGGAACATCCCTGCCCTGGGGGCCAGCATCCCTGCCAGGGGAGCAGCATCTCTGTCCTGGGGGCCAGCATCCCTGCCGGGGGAGCAGCATCCCTGTCCTGGGGAGCAGCATCCCTGTCCTGGGGACGAGCATCCCTGTCCTGAGGAGCAGCATCCCTGTCCTGGAGATGAGCATCCCTGCCCTGGGGAGCAGCATCCC